GCGGGTTTTTGAAATAATTTGCACGTACGGCTCGAGATTTTATTTCATGATATCTTTGCGTGTAAATAGGACACCGTGATCGGTATCACCGCCCTTGGGAAGCTGGCTGAAAGGCTGTCATTTCGCAATACGAACATGGAGATAACTTTTCTTCACGAGGACATAGAGAATAAGAGGAAAATGTTTGTCACGCCTGACAACCTTTTAGTAGTGGGAAAGCACGAAGTGAGTAGATCGTGAAATGAAACACTAAGAATTAGCTATCTGATTTGATCTGAATGCTGTCATATGTTCGGAAGTTCAGATGGTTCACTTTAGTCTTATATTTTCCGTGGGTAAAGAATTAGGTTGACCTGTGTTATTTTGAAAAATAATTTTACGTTTTGTATCAGTTGAGCAGCGATGATCGATTGCCTCATGATCTATAAGTTTTAATGCGAGTACAGTAATTCTCTCGAGGGCTTTTTTTCTATCTGGTGAAATTAATCAACGTATACTGTAGTACTTCACTGAATTTTGAAGGCTTCTTTCTTTTCCTTTTTATTATGAAGCAATTTCATGTCAAAGGTATTTATTAATAGTTTTTGAACTTATATACGTGTACTTGATACTTATATCCGCTACGCACTAAAACTCGCACATGTTAAAAATTTAATTCAACAGCTTGAAAGTTTACGGGAAGAACTAGCTTTCAAAACGAAAATGTAGGAGTTTAGTAGTAAAAAATAGACTTGTATACATAAAATTTTTGAAATTTGGCGATCAGATAAAAGCAAGCCTTTCATTTTTGTGTAAGTTTGAATTTTAAAAATGTTTCACATGTTAGTTGCCCGGATCGACCCGTTGGGTGGAAATCACTGGAAGTGGACGTGGAATGGCCCTAGTGCAGGTATCGTACAAATTCAATCTGAATGCATCCGGTGCGTATCGCAGGAAACGGGACCTAGGCGTTTAGCTGTTTTGTCGGCTGGTTTTGGTGAACGAGTACTCGTAGACGTGTGTCACTCAATAACTACGTGTTTTTTCTATCATGTCCACCTGAGAGACATGTCTTTTATTCAATGGACCAGAGCAACAACAAAAAATTTTATGTGGGCTGAATTATGTTGTAGAGAACCTCTATAACATGAGGAGAGAATTCTGTGGGACGAAAAAATAATAGTCATACCCAGGAAATCGTTGTAGAGCGAGAGTCACCTGTATGCGATCGTCGGGTATCGCTTTTTATGTTTCCAATGATGTTTTGTAGGTGTCGCCTGTATCACTCACAAAAGTTTTCGATTCTGTCTTCAAAATTACAGTACCTGATCTTTTCCGAACGTTATTTTGTACATGCAACGTTATGGCAATAGGATACATTGCTGTTTCTTTTAGTTCTTAAGGTCCTGTAGCCCAAAAGTACACAAACCTCACTAGCGCTTAACAAGTTCTAAAAGACCAGCTTTAAACAAAAGGCCTTAAAGAGACTAACCATAGTGCGTCTTCTTTGTGATATTCTAGTTATAATGACGGCGGTGATAGCAACATGGCCATTATGGAAGTGGCCTTACCAAGTGGATACACGATCGACGCGGATTCTTTGCCATCTATTCGAGATTATCCGGCTGTTCGACGTGTCGAGAGCCACGATGGCAACACGAACGTTGTCATTTACTTTGACAAGGTGAAGAGACTGGAATAATGAGACGGTTTTTATTTTTCAAATTTCAAACATTGTCTCCGTTTTTTTTACATTTTTAGATTGGTCAATCCGAAATTTGTCCCACGGTTTCGGCTTATCGGACTTTCCCGGTTGCCGAGCAGAAGGGTCACGGGCAGCAACACGCCCTAATGATACTAGTGACACTCAAATACCTCAGTATAGTCCTAACCAAAAAAGATGCTCTAAGATTATGCCACCTTAAAGTAAAATTACTGCGACCTAAATCTTTTTTTTTGGACTTTGAACTGAAAAGTTTGTCGCGAAGAGATCCTAATTGAGATGTATGTTGGTATGCGTCATGTGCCCAAAATGTGATCTGCAGAAAAGTGATTTTTTAGCAGAAAAGAACGCTATACTTATTCGTTCAAATATTGAATCAATAAATTCGGTCACTCGGCGTCTTCATGTCTTCGAAATAAAAGATTGTTAATGTCATCATTAGCTTTGTCTAAGCTTTAGAGGAATTTCACTCACTTTGAATCCTTTCAAATGCAAGATAAAGTATACTGTCTACTTGAGCATTGCTTTCATTTGTCTAACTAAAATAAACGCTAGTCGACGGCTAAGAAGTAGGAACCATTTTGAACGGTTTTACACGAGTAATATCTTCGTTATACTACGTCAGAGGCTTAAAGCCTAGACGATTTTAAAGCCTTTTTACTGCTTCGATTTTTAAATTGAAATTTCACGAATATTGAGGAACGAATTATTTTACGTTTGCCACGCCCTTTTTCATGATTAAAATGTTGATACAGAATGCTCTGCTGCAATAAAATACTGCACTGGAAGGAATATAAAGTTATAGTGTGTCGGAAGTTTTTCGACATACTCGTGTCAAGTCCCCTCAGAATTTGGACAGATGCTTCTTTTAATTTTCAGCTACGAAAAATCTCAAAGCACGTATGAAAAGCTGAACCGACAAAGTTTCAATTTCTCCGCGTCTGTTCTGTTTTCTGATTGTAGCTCGTCAAGCTCGCGCGTTTTACGAAGTGAACCAAGCGAGTTTGTGCGACATCTGTGAAGGAGACTCGTGCACTAGAATGAATTGCCGGGATGCCTCTGGCTCTGGAGGACGAGGAAGTCAATCTGGATCCTCGGCACCACCATCATTTTCCTCATCAGTCAGCCATGCCTTGCTCCTGGTTTGTTGTTATGTTTTGTTTGTCGCGGAATGGCGTTGAAACTTTTGATGCAACCGAGGCTTCCCAGTGAGTTCCCGAGTGGGAAAGAAACAAACAGGAAGAGAGAGTCGGGGGTGAAGGAAGGAAAATCATCCTCTGCGAGAATTGTTCTCGAACTGTCTGGAGAATGTTTCTTGAGGAATATCGCAGCATCAAACTTTATTTCATTTGTATTGCAGCAATGAGCAAAATTGAGAAGTTTTTGCGACATCTATCGAGTGTTCCGGTAAACGTGTTCATGTTTTCCGGGAACGTTTGCTTATGGAGATTGATGAAAAATTTACTGTTGATTTCGATAAAGAAAAAAAAGACAATCGTACGCGAGATTCGCATTTATATGATCACGACGAAGAAATTCAGCGTAGAAAGCAATTTAAGCTGTCACCGAAAATATCTCATTCCATTGACGAAAGCGACGATTGATTGTAAATTTTTCACTTTTGAACGGCGGATCAGGAAAAAAAAGACGCTAGCGTTAGTGTCATTCCTTTTTTCAGAACTGACTCTCTCGAAAACTGAAAGCATACTACAGTATTTCAATCCTTGGACTTGCTTCGACTTTTAATTTCTTTTTTCACGAAGGATATATTTTTTATATCGGAAATATTTGCTCACGTCAACTAGAACTCACCGAGAAGCACGGCACGGCAAAAGATTTGCACGAATTTTTTTCGGCGTTGGTTTTTTTTTTTAATCGCGGTGAATTGACCTCGTTTTTTGTTGATTCCTGGTGGAAAGTTACGTGTAGAGAGTTTAATGGCCAAGTGCGAACTGAAATCGCTACTGACAGTTAACTGTGATGAGCCGGAGGAAAGGGAAAAGGAATGGGTTGTTCGGACGACCGACGCGGTTGTAATTGACGACATTCTAGCAAACATTCATAACAAATTATTCATAAAAGATTTATAGACACATGAAGGACTTTTTCGATGCCACAGCCTTAATTTGGACCCAATAAAATACCTAATGACAAAAGTATAATAAAAATAAGGCTAAATATTACTTTAGCTAAGATTTGTATTGAGTATTTTTTGCTATCTTCGTGAGATGAAAAGCGAACCTTTTCAAGAGTCCTTTTTTTTTGTCTATAAATAAGACTCTTGAAAGAGAATCATATAAAGAGTCTTGATAGATTCTCGGTTGAGTCCAGTAAGTATACAGTAGCTGCTATAATGAATATTCTCATCGACAGGCCTGTATTTTATCAAGTATCACCTGCACATTTCTGATTTTTCTGTAAATTTTTGTCAAATGATTGGGGTGACGTGCTTGGTTAAATTTTTTTCCCCACTTCGTGCACATAATATGGCGAATTCAATTTAAAATATCAATTTTCAAACAAAGGCTCTGGGTACAGTATGACCATGCATTCTTATGCCAAACCAGAAATGTAATTGCTTTGTTCAATATTTTTTCAACATGTTATTTAATCCAGAATTTAAAGTTGTATTTGTTGTAGATTTTAATGCTGTATTGAATTTATTGATGAAAAATTGGGGTGAAGGATGCGAGGCTTGTTGGAGACAAACTGGAAACTATTTTTAAAAGTGGTGCGCCTCAATTTGATTTGCGCCTCAATGTTACCCTAATCTGTTGCTGGACTGGGGTCAAATTGTGAAGCAGTCAAATTTCAAGTCATTGTCAAATGCTATGTTTTCTGTATCATATTTGATGTTTATGCGTCTCTGTGTGAGTCACATTTTGGGGCAGAGATTGTATTCCAAATCAACCTCCCATCAAACTGTTTGTCGGTCAAATTCTGGGGTGGTTGAGTTGCAAGGTACCGCCTATACAGTACTGTGACTAGATCCATTGCAATGCCATAACCACTTATGACAAAAGCATTAAATGTTTGGCATTCGAAACTAGAAGTTATTATTGTAAATAAAAGGAAACACAAAGTTCAACTTTTTGTTGTTGTGCTCGCTTCTTGTATGTCACATTCATCACTTCACTCTGCATCGTCCCAACCCCACGGCGAGGAAAACAAGACACAAAAATTGTTTATACATAAGCTGGAAGGGTTCTAAAAATCCCCTTCCATCGCCAGCGTCAAATTCACAATCCAAAACAGTTTTCATTTTTTTCATGAAGTCAATGCTGGTCGATATCGGCTTCATGTGATATCTTGAAAAAAAAAAATTTCAGTCCCTTTTTATTCTTTCCGAAATAATAATGGAGCGAGAGTCCAAAACTGAGAAAGCATAACCATCACAACTCTCTCTCTCTCATCCCGGTCGTTATTCCCCCGGGGAATTTGTTTCGAATAACTCGCGGGCGCATGCGTGTAGAGAACGTGACAAATCAATCAATTAATCACTCAATCAATCAGCATCAGGCACAGACGAAACTACTTGTCTGGAAAGGTCCACTGATGCGGCCGCGGCCACTTGAGGTACGGGAAATCGTTGTAGTCAATCCGCGTGTTGGGCGGGCCGTAGTACTGCTTGCCGAAGCTCAGCCGCACTCTCCGCACGTCCCTCTCCTTGAACTCCTTGGCGATCTTGAGCCAGTCGCGTGGCCGGTGGTCGATTTCCACCACGGACCGCACCGGCCGCACGCTCCTGTCCCGCAGGCCACCGATCTGTAAGGAATTGTCGCCACAATTACACAAATACAGTAATGCACGAATACATTACACTTTAACCTCGATAACTTAAACCTGCCTGAGTCGAACACAGCCCCATGTCGAATTTTTCTTTTAAGTCCTTGTTCGAATTCCATTATAGAAATTATGCATTAAAACCTCCCTGACTGAAGGCTTTCCCCACAACTCTCCATAACCCGAATTTTCTCATGATTTTAGCCTATTGTAGCAATTTACTGACGCAGAAAAGAGAAAAGCAATACTGTATGATGTTATTTGAAAGCAATATGACAAGTTTTGAAAGCAAGGGAAAGACTGATTGGGCAAGGAAATCCTAGCCCCCAACTTCAGCATCCAGTCAACTCATTTAAGAAGCAATTTAATGCCTAGAATATCACCAACTAAAAGTTTCTACAATTAGTTTTCTCCCTAACCTCTGGATTTTACAAGATACAGATAAAATTATCAAATATTTTTACTTATCTCTCAAACAAATTGAGCTACAGTACTGTATTTAGAGTCAAAAAATAAATATTTTTTTAATATTAGAGCAATAAATTGACTCTAATTTAAAATCCAAAATGAGCTAATTTTTTGCTTAGATTTCAAAGGATTTTTTCCATTATCTATGCGTTATACAGCAGTACTGTATAGCAAAACACAGGCTTGTTTTGCTATTCGGCTTTGTTTTCATACCAAACGGGTTAGACTCTGTGTGGTACGTCAGACGTCAACTGTATATTTAATTTTCAACTTTGAAGAAGAAGCTTGTTCTATTGAATGGTAGGTGTCGCTAGCCGAATACATTCGTGCGCGAAAGTTATCCAGTCATGCGAGTCGTGGTTTTCCCCCGCAAAAAAAAAATTGTTACACGAATTTCTCCGTATGTGGGCGCTTCATCATGCGGGAACTCGCTGCAAGTGTTCATGAGCTCATTTCCTCATCACGCAAATAATTCGATCAGCGGCGGAAATAATAGATGAACTCACGCATGAAAACTGGCTCTCCATGCGCTGAACAGAGACGAACTGGCAGACGGCGCAAGGTCTGGCATGATCGTCACTGCAGTTGTACTGCAACTGCATCACTTGCTGCTGCGGCATCGCAGCGCAGTTGGACTGATGAGGCGACTCCGCAGACTGCATCAGTCTTTCAGTATCACCTTTATTTGCTTCGTTGTGGGCCACCAAAGGCCTCACATTGTTGAGGCATGCCGGCTGAATGCCCTGTGATACACCGAAGATGCAGTACTTTATAATACCGTGGCTGGTGCTGATGACTTTAAAATCACGGGATTTTACAGTACTATACAGTAAATACTTTCCATTTCAAACATCATATGAGGGTTGTCCCATATGGGCGCAACCTTGGTTATTTCTTGAGTAGTCATGAATAAATATAATTAATAAACTGTACAGTACAGTACTGGAAAATTTCAGGGTTGTGGGACTTTTCAAGATTTGAAAAAATTGATCTCCTCCCATGCCACAGGGTACAAAAAATTTGACAGGCCAGTTGAAATTTCTTAATTTTTAATGCGTATATCAAAACTAATTCATTCTTGTGTGAGTTTGGTTTTGGCAATTGTTTCTTACACAAAACCATGTTTCTTTTGAGTTGTAATTCAAAACAATGTCATCTACTTCAGAAACCAAAAACATCATCATAAAGAAACATTGAAAACTGCTCTCTTATTCAGCAAGTTTTTTCAGTATAAAACTGATATAGTCCTAGTTGAAATTCATCAACTTTCTGAAATTTATAAATTTTCAGGACTATCAAAAGGCAAATTGTTGACCTTTCTTTTGAATAAAACTATTCAAGTTCCAACCCAGAACAATAATCCAAGCATTTTTGGCTGAAAAACTGTGCTATGTGAAATAATATTGCTATGATGGTCATTTTCCCTTTCATTAATTCAGGCTTTCAATATTTTTGCTGTAAAAATATCCTGTTCAGCAGGTAACCACTGTTATCTCCTCTGGTCCATTCTGTTTAGTATGTCAAACTCAAAATTAATTTACTGTATAATACTTAAGTGAGGATTTTTTCAATTGGGACATTTGAGATGTGAGCGAAGAAAAGATTCACTAACCTCAAATTTAAGCTTCAGGGATGTTTCTTCAGCATTTGTTTGTCCATTAAAATTGTTGATTGTTTGAGGCTGCCTTCCATCCATCTGTCCCATGGACACTCCACCACGCTGCACAGCTTCTCTCATTCCACCAAATCTACACCAAAGTCCAGGAAAACAAGTACAGGTACATCAGAAATTTAAATCATATTGCAAGAGTAACCAAAACAATGTTGGCATTGTAATGGAGACAAAACCAACAGGAAACAGCACTTTTGTTTCATCACTAGTACTGGCAGATGGCGGTTGGCGCCTTATTGAGGTTTTCTATAAAATTTA